TTTCAAAGTGGCCTAATGGTGGCTATTTTTGTGCTAAAAAACTTGTTTTATTTTTTAGATCGGATTCTGAATGGCTGACTTGTGGCAATTTTGTTTTAATGAATGGGCTTTTAGAGCCATATCTCTGACATGCTTTGACTGACTATGTTCAAATTTCATATATTCATTATACATATATTCATAATGGCTGATTTTGTTTTAATTAATGCTGTTCCAGAGCAATATCTCTCAATACTCGTTTGACGATCAGATACAAATATCAATCATTTAAATGTTAAACAATCATCATATTCCTGACATGTTTATATTTCAGCTATATTACTATAAACAAAACTTTATGTCTTAAATTTGATAACTAACAGGGACTGTGCCATGCATGGCTTGTTTTAGCTGAAATTAATTTTCGCCGAAAAAAACATGTGTTTTGTATGGAATTTATTTTCACTAATTTTTGAAGAGTTGAATATAAAGTATAGAAAAAAGGGTATATTTGCTGGGTTTTTTTTATTGAATCATTCCTTCAGCAAAAATAGCGAAAATTGATTCCAAGGGAAAATAGAGTATTTTACAGTACCCCCTAAGTACTCCCTAATTTTGTAAAAAGAATCCAACGAATCTAAGGTCACACTTAATTCAGGTTACTCATAAATGTTGTTGCCTTACGATAAATTTTTAATAGATATTTATACATGATAAATGAAATCACCCAATTTGCACGTTTTTTTCTGAAGCCGACTATCAATGGCTGCTCTTAGAAGATGACCAATCACAGCACATGTTAACCAGTTAACGTAAATCAATAATGCAGATGAATATAATCTTGAAATGATCTCAGTACTGTCAAAAGCAAAAAATTCAAATGCTGTTTCTAGACTGGGAATGTAACTGTGATATCATACAATTTATTTTGTTGCTAGGAGACAGACTTGGCCGCTGTGAGCATTATGCTTCTGGTAATGGCACATATGTCAGACAACAATGTATTTATTCATCATTAGCTGGCTTTGTACATGAACAAGAAAATGACGACAAGGTAGAAATTAATACTCAGCATCAACTTATTTGCAAAAAACTGAAAAGAAAAAATTAATAACATAAATAATTTCTTAGTGTGCTCTTGGCTGAGATTTGACGCATGGCTCAGCAATCTCTAAGTGCATCATGGGAAATGTAATTTGAATGCCCCTTTCATTGTTTCTTGTGTTTACATACAAGGTGCTAACATCTTAATGTCTCATATTACCAGTTTGGATTGCAATAAACCTGTGATGTAGTTCTGCATGGCTGTTTAAAACATGCCTTATTGTTTAGGTTAGAATTCTGCTTAAATAAAGACCAACTCTTGAACTAAAAGTTGTATTCTATAAATATTCATGATTGCATACAACAGAAAGTACTCCATGCATTTTGATTATCAAAAAAAAAATGATTTCGTAGAGCACTCCGACCCAATACATCATTCGTACATTAAATCTGGTCACCATCTTTCCCAGAGCTGCTGTTAGAATTTGTTTATTCGTATTTTCCAGTTGCCGATTTTAAACGTAACTAGAGAAGAACAGCACACCGTTATTCCAGAAGTCGGGTCAATAGTAACAGCGAAGGTAATTATTGGGACAGACCATATAAGTTTATCAAATGTCTACACATATTATTCTTGGAGTCTTATTGCATTTTTCTGCATTTTGTATACATGAAATGAAGGACTCCACATTGTCCATTATTGCATGGTAACATGGTTCAGATAAAGATATTCACAAAAAAATTGCCAGTGTGCCTAATCTTTTATTCCATAAATAATACATTAAACCTCTTAAATTTTACGAGAGTTGAATTTTCATGAGTTGTACCAGTCAGTGAAAATCATGACAATTTTTTAGCAGTGAAAATTTCTCTCTGTCAGTGAATTCAAATCATGAACCTTCCTAACAGCAAACATTACACGGTTTAAGGTATGATATATACCGGTAAAAACAAATATTATATTAAGTATTTAATGCTGATGTTTTGTTGTTTTCTAGGTGACAAATATTAATCCCAGGTTTTGTAAATGCACGATACTGTGTGTGGAAGATTCACCATTGAAAGATAAATTCCGAGGAATGATTAGAAAAGACGATGTCAGAGCTACAGAGAAAGATAGGATAGAAATGTACAAATGTTTCAGGCCAGGTGACATCATACTGGCCAAAGTTGTATCCTTTTTAGCAGCTAATCTTGTGATGGTGTCTGTCTGTGTGTATGTCTGTCAGTGTGTGTATAGCTATTTCAAACATTAATGATAAATCTTCTCTCAATGTGGATTTTAAAAATTTAGTCAGTTAAAAATCAGAAAAACAATTGTCTCATTAATTGAATCCGTCAATTGTCAAAATGTTTAATTGTCTTAATTGATTGGTAATTAGCTATCTCTTGGAGATGCACAGTCTTATCTTTTAACAACGGCTGAAAATGAATTTGGTGTGGTACTGGCTGAAAGTGAAGCAGGTGAGTTCATGTGTAACATTTATGGGGTCATGACAAGTCCCAGCATATGTTCAAGTGTCCTGCATAATTAATGTGTAGTCTTTATCCTTTCATTATTTAGTAGTCAAAATGCCATAATTTTCCGTTCAATGCGAGATCTCGCGAGATGCATTAAAGACACGCGTCGAACGTCTGCCGCAAAAATCGAACGAATTGATTTTGAACTAAAATTGATAGCTCACATCGACCTGCCAATCTTCGACAGAGATATATTGCTTTCCAATACCCTCACTTAATCAAAATTGTCTATCACCAAATGTGTACAGCACATTATTAAGCATGGAATTGCCCCCCAAAATATTTTCTCGTTTGTGGAATCCCACGCGATGTTTGACGACGCTATGACCTTTGTTTGTTCTGTTTTTACGTTCAATTTCACGCATAACGCATGATTCTCGCAGTGAGTGGGAAATGGTCTATTCATCCATCATTGGTTTCTGGGCGGTTATATCACATGACCTAAAAACAGTACATTTTTTTTATTTCAGGTGTTAACATGGTTCCTATTAGTTGGTGTGAAATGCAGTGTCCCAAAACAAACATTATAGAGTTCAGAAAAGTTGCCAAAGTACAGCCACAGCATATTTTGACCAGTTAACTATATCTTTAGTCTGAAATGTAATCCACTCATATTTCATATTCAATAAATGTTTATAGCTCAATGTACAGTGTAATTCCGTTTCATGAGTGCAAAGTTTTGTTAAACACACAAACTTGTTTATTTTTCCCATCGTGATGCAAGTTGAAAGTTAAAACAAGTCATTGTTAATGAGAAGTTCTGATCCAATTTTTATTTACTGTTAGCATTAGTGCCAAATAATTATGACAGACATGATACAAAGTGGAGCCAGTTTATTTGTGCGATTCCATTGTTTTTAGCACAAAAATGATCATCAGCCATGTTGTAACATTTAGAGGGTTATGCCCATGTACCAAAATGTTGATTTTGAAACAGATGCATAAAGACTCCAAAAACAGCATTTGTTAAAAACAAAATGGCCATCAGTCAAACATTTTAAATCAAATCTGACACAAAAAAAATAATGTGCCTGATTATGTTTAAAGGGCGGTGGTCGCCGCGCCGCGTTGTGTTCAATATGGGACTCATAGTGACATACACAACGCGTGTAAAATACATTGTTTACATCGAATTCGAACACTCACTGCGCAACGATCACAGCCCTTTAATGGACATACCAAGTTTGAATGAATTATGTCCATGCATGACTGTGATTCGGTACTGAAATAGCAGAAATGCTTAATTTTGATACATTTTTAGTACTAAAATGTAGGCACTGTCAAGGATTTATAAGATGCAAATTTTAAAGAGCCAAAATGCATGCTTTGTGAATAAGCAAAAGAATGAGCAGAAGCAGCTTAACCAGCCTGTCCACAGAATAGCTCATTTGCATAGTATTTCTAGAAATGTAGAAATTTTGAGATCATCTTGCAATTCCCGTTTTTTAATTCACACAAAATCTTTGTTACGCCTCTAATAAATCTTTAATAACAAAGCATTCATTATAGGTGTTATTTATAGAAAACCCAATACACCCCATCCCGAATTCCTCCATAGTTTAGACTTTTGTCTTGACCAGTTAAATGTCTGCCATGGGGAAAAGCTGCATAATCCTTGGTGATGTGAACATAGATACGTCCGTAGACTACCCCCGCCCTTCAGTACAAAATTACTCTAAATTCCTATAATTTCAGCCAGATTATTAACACTCCCACTAGAGTTTCGAACATTTCGGCTACAATCATTGATCACTGTCTTACAAATATTACCGAGTATTTTATTGATTGTGGTACAATTCAATCTGATATCACTGATCATTATCCAATCTTTTCTGTTATTAATCACCTCAAACATAAGCTAAATTTAAATACAGTTGAAAGCTATGATTTCAAAAACTATAATGCCAACGCCTTCTTATCTGACTTGGATACGGTAACATGGCAGCCGGTCTACGACTGTTTGGACTCGAATGATGCGTAAACAACTTTCTATGAGATATTTTATAACATTTCATCCAATCATCTTTGTACAAAAACATTTCGTCAGTCTAAAAATATACGCAAACCCTGGATGTCTTATGGACTTGCCAAGTCAGTCCGCACAAAACATAAGTTGTTTTCAAAAATGAAATATAATCCTTGCGGTGAGTATTATAAAACTAAATACAAAACTTATAGAAATATTCTGTTAAAACTCACGAAGTCAGCAAAAAAACGTCTTTATTCAAATAGAGTAAGATTGGCCCAAGGTAACACAAACAAAACATGGCAAGTGATCAATGATATACTTAACAAAACACCAAGCAAATTAATACCCCGTATCTTACATTCAAGTAATCCTAACAAACCCCCTTTAACAAATCTGATATTGCGGAAGAATTTAACAAGTTCTTCACTAACATTGGCTCCAATCTTGCCTCGAAAATAACATCTGGCAGCAATTATGCAAAGTACCTAGATGGTAATTATCCTAGTAATTCTTTCTTTTTCCACCCAGTCTGTGAGCAAGATGTGTCGAATGAAATTAAACATTTAGACTCGC